ATACCTGACTATTTACGCCTGTTGAAAATGTTATCGATGTCTCTCTTTAGATAATTATACGCTTGAATGATTTGAGATATAGATATGGGTTTGCAATGAGTCACATCCAATCATTATACATACACTAATTGATTTTTATTAACACATAAAAGACCCGAGGCAGGTACAAGTAATACAAAACCAAAAGCGTCTGCTTTTAGTAACGTGACGTATTTGCAAAGTAGTGAATCTCCTGTTTTATGTCTATGTTTTCGTACATGTACCTGTTATTTCGATTACTTATACCAAGGTGTTCATCACTGCATGGTGAACAGATTTGTCCCCGAGGAGGTTCGTAACTGGGGGTAGGTCGTTCGGACCATGATTATACGAATCTTTATTTATGTGTACATTTATAGTCTGCATATTGCTAGAGTTTCGAATTACGCATGTCCAACTCGTCATTGTAAGAGCACATTCACTACATGGTATATTAAGCTACGTGTTCGTATATGTGCTCGTGATTTCGGTTATTGCACCTCTGGGATAAATTAGGTGATATTTGTAGTGGAATAAACAACACATGTGATATACATGATTTTGGGATCTTGAAAATAGTGTTTACAAGTGATTTGTTATTTATATTACCTAATATCCCATGCCTCAGTTAATTTATAACGTTTCTAAAAGAAACCGAGCTGTCAGTCAACATTCAGTATTTAATTATCAATTTTCAATCGATATTTTGATTGATTATTACTGTAAAACTAATAAAACAATTAATGAAATTTAATATTAAGTGGAAAATCCAAAAATGAATACTTTCGGAGCAAAACACGCAAAAAATGTTTATTCGAAATTTTAAAAAAATGTTGGCATTTTGAATACAAGTATCAACGAATATAGGTCTTCTCTTCAATAAACCAGTCCACTAGTATATCAAACCATTAAATTACGTGTTCTTTATTTTGATAGACAATTCATGCATAAGCTGTGTAGTGTAGACTAAGCACTCTGAAAATTCTTGGAATTTTGAATACAAGTGTCAACGAATATAGGTCTTATCCTCAATAAACCAGCTCACTAGTATATCAAACCATTAAATTACGTGTTCTTTATTTTGATAGACAATACATGCACTCTGAAAGTTCTTAGTAATTTTTTACGTAGTCTGTGAAAATATACGTGCCTCCTCTAAAATAAAACGAGAAAATACGGTAAAAACTTTTGTTACTTCGAAGAAAAGGAAAGATGTCAAAAAAATCGCTCCAACACGAAAATATATTATATGGTTTCATACACATAGCCGCTGGTTGCACAGTATGATATCCACGCATGACGCAAATCATTCATTACGGTTTTTGTTAATATTCGTGTTAGTCTATTCACTGTTCTGTTGAACATAGGAAATCTGTTTTGATGAAAAGCAACAATGCTTTCTGCTTGCAGTCATGACATGCCGCGCAGTGGGTGGAGGTACAGCAAAGAATGGTCGTCTAATTTCACAACCTTTATATCTCAACATAAGGATGTCTTTTTTTTCAAAATCTACCTAGACATCTTGGCCAATCATAACTAAACATCGCAGGATGTATATATAATAAATGTCACATTTCCTAGTTCCGAATCGTGTTCTAAGAATGGCCACAATTATTTTAAAAAAGCGTAGCGTAACTCCACAATATCAATAGCGTTTGCCACGATTACAAAATGTTACTCAAAATTGAAATGACGTAATCATTAAACGCGGTACAGAGCGTGCAACTTATCACATAATCACAATAGCTATGTTTCCACTAATGCAGTCTAAAATTCGAACCATTTTTTGCTCCCATTGTAAAACCGCGAGTGGTCGCGAACCGGACTGGAACAAGCTAGCTGTCTACAAACGTTATTACACTTGGCGTACTGAACTCGAGGCAGTTTATTAGAGAATTCAGAAAAAATGGTGGGATATTGTCGGCTTTCCTTTTGAAACTGTGATAATCAGTCCTTAATTTCCTCTGACAATTTTTCTTGCGTGAGATCGGATCAAATTCTTGATTTTGGTACTGCAGGACAAAGCCGTATGTTCATACCCGGATACTTATTGTGACGTTGCGCAATCTAAGTTTATTCTCCGTCGATTTGCTTTGTCATTTCAATTCAATCTGTATTGGACCATAAGTCAATTAAAAAGATGGCCCATCTCGAATCCATGTCAAACGTATATCTGTCAAGATATCCACTATTCACGGTCTGAGATCGAAGCCAATGTACGTAAGCAGTCTACGGTAGATGTCTACTACTACTGCATTCAATTTTTGCGCCTAATCTTAACGAAAATTATCCCACAATTAGCGAGCTTGTGCACTACACCCTCGAATAGTGTTCGTTTAGAATCGTATTCGGTTAGCTGTCCATACTGGGTCAATAAACCGCGTTATTAGGTTCGCAACCACCTCTGGATTCGGATTCGGATTTCGAACAAGATCAGCTAAAGTGGTGACGCTTAAATCGCAACTATTTTGTTTAGTGAGTACAACGCTAATGTGTGCAGGCGACAGAATCGAACAACTTTATGCATAATTTATCTTACGACGCATGTGCAGTGGTTAGTGTCGTCATTTGAAACAAAACACTATATATGTAAATGACCCGTTCCATATGGGTGTAGCATCATTTACGTATGGTCATCGATATACGGACGAACCAGTCAATAGCTGAGCAATAAATCTCTCTGATAAGTCGAGGCGAAACGTTTCTGTGACGTCATATTGACGTAGGTGGTGTAAAGAATGTCGTTCAAATAGGCGACTCTGATTGACTATACTGCTCGTCGTCGTGAAACAGTATGTCATATTGACAAGCAACGCAGATCAAGATAATAGACGCGCACCGGCGCTAGAGGGCAGGACTACATAGAAAAGGTTTATTAATAACAACTACATTCACACAGTCATATCTTCTTGATCGGAGGGTGGAAGTGAGAACGTCATGTAGTGAATAGTTCTTTTTTTATTGTCTGCCGTAGCAAGCATGAACATGCATACCAGTCATTGCCGTGACATCGATAAGATACGGCAAATCGGCGAAATTTGCGAAGAAAGCTATTGTATAAATAAACATATTCAAAGAAATTGTCACATTTTTTGTATCTTCCTAACACGTTCCGTATTAGCTCCCTTATTATTGTCCTGACGAAATGCCTACGTAGTCAATGTTATTGGTGACTTGATGTTGTGTAGATCCATCCATGTTGTATGGAGGCAACCCTGACTAGACCGCTCAACACAGTGATGCTTCTGGGGATTATTGTTACCAGCTTGTAAATACTAGTAATCTACGACGGGTTATATAAACATCAATCTGATTAAAATCTGATGTAGTTTACGGGCTTTAATTATTTTGGCTATAAACTTATTTTAATTTTATTTTACTTTGATTTTCATTTTGTGTTTTTTTTTAATTCCGCCCTACATACATCTGACCCGATGCTTATGTAACGAGATTTCAACGAGATCCACTATCGACGATTTTAATCAACGAATCACAGACTTCCTTCTTTAGCGCACATGATGACGTCACCGGGCAGAGTCAGGTGGCAAACACTCTCAAATAAAATGGCGGATTATACCGACCGAGAATAACACGGCTTTTCGGTAAGTTTATCATTGTCAAATGCAACGAAAGTCATTTTTATGTTAATATTGTGGCTCGAATGGTTCGAGTTTAGATCGTTATTTTGCGTAGTTATTCTGGGAGTGACGATTGTGTTTCCACCGGTTCGACCGAACACCGGTGTCTTTTTAAAGTCGCTTGCCCTGGAGACGGGTGATGTTTTGTTGACGATCGGGCCAAAATCGTCTACGGTATTGAAGCCGTAGCTGTAAATATATCAAAATGTATCAACATTTTGTACATTATACAATAATTCTTTATTAAAGTAATTGAGCTGATTTGGACTGGAATAAAATATTTTTTATTTGGAACCGGTGGGCCGGTGACCGTTATACAATTTAAAAGTCGTTTGCATTGTTTACTATAGCTGTTTACAGTAATCTAATCATTATGATTTACTCATTTTTTTGCTTCCATTCTAGATAATTATGCTCAGTGTTTGATGTAAAATTGGAGCGATGACCGAATGAACGAACCTTGGCTGGCGAAGATGTTAACTGGAAGTGTACACATTTGTTGGAAGTGAAAAAAATATTCAATGTAATGACAAAAATTGTAAAATGCTGTGGACTTTCTTTTGTAAATAAAAATATACTAGCAATTTTCTATTAATGGTTTATTCAAGTGGGCAAAATATAATGTACAGAAAGATTGCCCGTGGAGTATCGCTACACTGAAAAGTAAGCAACCGAAAGCCTGTATAAAAGGGGGCTGTGATTGGCTGTTACTTACGCGAGATTTGAACGGGACTTGCATAGGCGTCGGATCAGATTTAGGTAGGGCGGAATTTTAAAAAAATCACAAAATCAAAATAAAATAATAAAATAAAAAGACATTAATAACAAAAGTAATAAAAAATAAAATTAAAATTAGTTTATAGCCAAAATAATTAAAGCCCGTACACTACATCAGATTTTAATCAGATTGTATAAACATACGCCGTGCAAGTGATTACCAACACTCAATAGCATAGCTACACCTGCGATAAACAATCGCCCGTGTCTAATGGCACGTCATCAAGCTAAGGCCGTGTATTGGTTTAAAATGAAGCTTAATCGTAACCACTTTCATCAACAACTGTCAGAGGTTACCTCAAACATGGAACCGACGCCATCTTGTTCATACTATTCATCTCCTTTGTGTGACGCGTCGGTCACGCGAGATTTAAATAAACATCTTGACACAGTATCTCAAGTGCTACAACACTACATACACCTTAGGGAGAACGTCAAAAGATCGATGTCAGATAAAAAAAAACTTATTTGCTTTAGTTTGGGGGTGGGGGTTTTTGACTTTAAAAAGTTTCCATCCTACAAAAACAATTTTATTTTTTAATGAAGTCAAAAAAATCATGGAGTATTTGTAGTTCGTTTTTCTTCTATCCAATCATGGGAAAAAATAACAGAAAATGAAACAAACATCCAAGACGAGAAAATGGTTTTGTCCGAGTGTAAATATGTGCGTCTAATGAGGTCAATTTCAGGGCATGTACCAAGAACCAACTGCTATGCCATACTACTGTCCGATTATCAATTTGTATTTAATGGTGAATGTAGTCTGACGACGTGATCAATATTTATCAATTAAGTTTCAGTGGGGGTAGGGGGGTTGGGGAAAAAACTAAAGGAATTAAGTTTTTTATCCGACATTGAACTTTTGATGTTGTCCCTTATGTGATTATTTGCAGACAAACAAACAAACATTCGCATAACATGCACCACAGGGTATGTAATTAGATATGTTGCTACATACGTGACCATATTTTATCAGAGTTTTCATTGAATGCCATACTAGCCGAACGATCTTCGATTCCAGTGACGTAATCACCAGCCTTTGCTCTGTATTTACAATATCCATAGTCAGTGATCTTTAAAACCCATTTCTTGTCCACCACGCAGTTGGTAGATTTTAAGTAACCATGAGAACCAAGTATTGTCTTGTGAAGAAAGGCTATGCCCTATAAAAAAGGTAAAACATACTCCTCGGATCTTATTTCAATACTCAGAATATCTGTACGATAGCACAGATATTCTGAGTAGTGAAATAAGATCCTAATAAATTTCACAAAAGCGAATGTTCAAGTGAACCAATGAATCTCAATCAGTTGTTTTGACCCCACTCCCCAAAGTCTTACCTAGGGTGCATGCCTACACCAAACAACGATTTAAAATCATTGCGACATCTCCAGAGTATATTGTGCAAATACTCGTTATTTTGGCTCTTTTAATATTTGAGAAGCAGAACAAAGTTGATTTGTTTGATTGCTAACTTCTGTATATTAAAGACCAGATGTAGGTAGGGCGGAATAAAAAAAAATCACAAAATCAAAATCAAAGTAAAATAATAAAATAAAAGAGCATTAATAAAAAAAGTAATAAGAATAAAATTAAAATAAGTTTATAGCCAAAATAATTAAAGCCCGTACACTACATCAGATTTTAATCAGATTGTTCGTGAGCGTGCATTCAAGGTATTTGACCCATTTGCATGAACGATCCTCGTTCATGAGCACTTATTACAGTCAGTTAACTATTATGCCATTAATGATCATCAATATATTTACAGTTTCTGGATGTATTTATAACATGGATAACTTGAGGAAATTCAATCCCTGCCTAAGGCCGACTCGAAGACAAATTTAACAAATTTGCGCGCTCAGACAAGGTAAGATTAGGAGAACCGAAATTGTGCTATACATATATACGTATTTGTAATACGTAAACAAATTATTTAACTGCAGCTAGTATCCGAAACGAGCAGAAAAAAATGAATTAATATAATTTCAAACAATCCTTAAAAACATATAATATAAAATCTCCAATGACATGTATAAAATCTCCAATGACTCACTTTGTCAACAATGACGTCAAAGGTTAATTTGCTTGCACTGACCAATTAAATTACATTGTTTTATTACACTGAGCTGCCAATATAATTATATAGGATAACACACTTAATGTTGAAAAGTCAGGTTATTTATATTTACTAATTGTAATACCGCCAGACGTAAAGATAGACAAGGAAAGAGGCCACAACTGATGCTGAAAAAGTATGTTATCATTCTGTGGTGTAAGCTGTTACACTCTTAGGTGAAGAGAAAATAATAATACAATATTTCAAGAGTTTAAATACTCAGCAATAGGGCTATCAATAACCGTCAGTGCATAACACATTTGCCACGATTCGTCTGATAGTAATAAACAAGGCGAAACCATTGTTACAAGCATGCATGGATGGATTATTGAATCTCCATGAAAACCAATGGCCTACACTATAAACATGTCTCCATATGCTTGTTATTATATTATTTTATGAGCCTATTTTTTCACAAACGAAAATAATATTACTAACTACTAACGCTCATCGTGTTGGGCGAGGAAATCCGAATAAGTGTGAACATTATAGCTGCATTAGGATTCTTCGAAATGTCTGATACTTTACGTAAATATATTACTATTGTTGCACATATTTTTGTTTGTGGTGTTAATAAAAAAAAATTATGGTAAGTATTTTGAAACTCAAGGTAACAAAACAATGTATCGGAAAGTACATTTTAAAAAATAATGGCAGTTTTAATAGTTTGTCTTATGCTAAAACAAAAACCAATACGCGTACAATTCAAACTCGCAGACTTTAGTCAAACAGTATTCATCAACTTTGAAACCAGTTACAGAGTAAATAAATAAATGACACTCTGAAAATAAATAATTTATTGCAAAATTCAATGTATCGTTTATGCGTAGTTTATGCACAATTTTTGGAACGTTTCAATTATTCCTGGTGGCTCAACTGCAGTCAGTCGAATTTGTGTTTCTTGTAGACTTGACGCATACGAATTCGGAGATTAACGTGAATGGCTACCTAAAGTTCTCGGCAATGAACTGCTTTCACAGTGAATCACAGTATTATGTTTAAATATACATATGTTTAATAGTTATTAATTTTCTGAAAAAAATGCTTTCCCGTCGAAATCAATGACACAAGATCGGACTCCATCATCGATAAAACACATATGACTTCCACATTGCGATCAAAATAATTCGGTACCTTGCGGCACTGTGATTAACCTGTTAGGCCAAAGAACACGGTTTCAAGTCAATTCATACACCAAACGATCATGGCGATAATCGCTTCGCATGAACAAATTGCATGCGATCAAAAACATTCGCTTACGATAATACTAAGTTGAATTTTATTTGCATTTCACCAAAAAAACAATTAAATTGCTTTGTGTATGCCATTATAGCTTATATTTAGCATGTACATAATCTTGAAAACAAGTAACAAGTACTATAGAGTAGATCATTTGCTACTGCTTGTTCTCTTTTAAACTGTTTTGTATGCATTTTGTACTACCAACATGAAAAACAACCAAAACCTATTATGTAAATATCACGTAGAAATACCAGTATTTTTGTTTTTGTGTGAAGTACAAACATTCAACTCTTGTGTGGCGTCTAAATTAGAATATGTGTGGTAAACAAAGCCAACTATTGTTCTGAATTATCCAGCTCCCCAAACAACTCAATGTCGGTGTCGGTTATACATCAACGCGTACACTTTACAGCTACTATTATTTAATCGTTAGTCGCGTCATTAAGCCTTCGATTTTAACTTCTAAATAGAGATACAATTGCCTCATAGTTGATATCCACAAACGCATTAGATGGCTCAAGCAAAAACAAGATGATTGAATCTTAGCGGGAACCTTAATAACAGACTTGCATTTAAAATGTAATGATTGAATGTAAATTTAAACATGGTCATTTTGCTCTATATTTTGCATATATCTTCTTTGTGCCCAAGCTGCCGTATACAATATCACGTTGTCTATAAAATCTAACAGTTTGAGCGTGTTACACTGAAAGATAGTGTTTAATTGCTCATAAAATAATATCAATATGTATTCATCACAATAAAAATAATTTTGATCGGTACATCTCATTCTTAGTTCTTATATATGCATGCATAATACCTCAATGAGATCAGCGATAAATGATATCTTGAACATCCAGTCCAGCTTGATATCTTCATTATTCAAAATATCCTGCAAAAACATATAAATACTCTTAAAGCTGTCTGTGCGGTTTGATATCAGCCTTTGTAAACTTACATGAGATGCTGTCCAGTCGAACAGATTCAATATGGCTAACATGCAGTCACTGAAATGGTACAATGAATGTCTGCCACCCTGGCAACACGATCGCAGGTGGTTATGAATTGAATCGAAAGTTGTTTTTTTCAAAATGGAAATGTGTATCATTTATAAACAAATTGCTTGAAACTGTAGAATACTTACAGACAAACTTCCTTTCGGACAGTATGCGGTTAGCAAGAAATTATGCGACTGCTCAAAACATGCTCCGTAAAATTTGTTGATATTCTCATGACTCAAATTTCTCATCTGGGAACGAAGGAAGGAAGCAAAGACAATTATAGCAACGCCATTCAGAAATTAATGAAGCTGAAACACTGGGTGATAACAGTTTATCTCGGCCTCCTTGAGCATTAGAATTTATTGTGTTAAATTGACAAATTGGTCTTAACAATGTAATTTACATGTGATGTATACGACTCGTATTCAGCGCGACGTTTTGTTTTAACATATTTTCCAAAATTTTTATTAAAATCTGTCTACAATAGAAAGGTGTGTCTATTTGGTTCAAAATTATAAAATATCTTATAAAAAATGCATGAAAATAGGAAAAACGTTGTATGTATTTTGGCGTGTACAAAGCATTGCGCTAAATGAGTTAATGATCCACTCTAATTCAGTTGTTTACTAAATACATGATACATTTTTTAATAGTAAATCCCGTGTGATTATAAACTATTGAGATTGTAGGATAGCAGTGTTATCGACCCCGTCATAATATTTAAGTAATTGGAGCGATACACTTAAATTGATGTCGAGCTTGTGATCGTTTGGCTGTGGGCAGTAATGGTTTTTGTTGAAAATTGCGATTGCTCAATGTGTGCAGCCAACATAATCGGGGACTTCAATCATATTACTGCACAAAGAAAGTATCTCACAGTCAGCTCACGGGCAATCCGCATAGTTAGGGACATTACGTACCGTTTTTAACTCTTCAATGTTTTCGTTTGTTGGATTGTGGTTCTCAATTTTCAGGTAGCGAATAGCGCACATAATTCCTTGATACGATCCGACTACGGTAAAAGTTTTGTCTTGTTGATCCAATGCTTCTGCTGCAGACGACTTTGAGTGAAGACTCCCTAATGTAGCTTGCAGCTATAAACATATATTGTATTAAAATATAAATACAATTCTACCCGCTGCGCGTCGGTCGATACTCCCGCTGTACTGCTTTCGTGCACACTTTGAGGTATCCTCGTAATAACCTCAAACTATTGAACAGTTTATACACTAGTCTGATAAAAATCTGATGTTTCATTTCATCATTTTTGGTTTATTATCTGGTTATTTTATCATATATACCTTATATTATTATATTTTAACAAAATATCCAGAAATAAATTGTAGATTAAAATAAAGTATATATGAAAATACTGATTACTCACACAGATGAAAAATAACAAAATTAGCGACCCCCCCCCCGCGTTTTCTGACAAACTTAAGCGACTTTGAGTTCGGTTTCCCATAGATATTCGTCACAACATGCAACATGACACAACATACAGCTTACGGCTCCATGCTGGGCGTAGTTTCAATGACAAGTATTAACTTTCAACCAATAGATAATTTCGTAATTATGGTATGAACCAATTATTTTCTACACTTCTGACTAATTAGCATAAAACGCACCATTCCTTCCCCACGCTTACATTGTATCTTAAATTGACTTCTTTGTGATCTGGACGAACTTTTCATAAATTTAAAATTGGAATTGCGAAATTTAAAATTGAAAGCAAATTTCCAAATTCCATTCTTCGGGTTGAAGACTTTGGATTCAATATATCATAATTCGTGTCATTAGATTTTTATTTTCATAAAGTCTATTGTTGTGATGGAAACCAAATAAACAAATGGCCATATGCATCTCGGAGGGCTTTAATTTCAAAAGTGTAAGTGTAAAACAGCAAAATATTTGTGTTTTAGAAAACCTGTGCAAACTTCTCAACATTAGGAATCAGACACTTTGTCCTAATCTCGTGGACGCATTATACAATAGAATAAATGAATGACCACCATATACCACGCATTCATATATCTACTTATGTCAGAAATGTTCACGTACCCTTTGAAATACCTGCACTTCTTCTGATTTAATTTGCCAAAGAGATGTCGTCATGCTTTGGAAACGCACTCTTCAACGAGAGAAAACACACTTTACTGTTAATAAGGCGACAGACTATTGGTGAACACACAACAACATATGCACTCAGAATTATTGTCTCAGTATTATGAATAATAGGTAGTCTTGAAAGTATGGCAATAATAATAATGTCATTTAAATCAATCAATCAATCATCAAAATTATTTAGTAATTTTGAAATGAGTTATTTCTACATACCTGTAAACTAGCACGGCTGCTATAGCGCCACATAGTATTACAACCACTGCTACTGTCACTGTGGCTATTAAGACTGAGTTGTCTGGGGAAAACGTGTCAAGAAGAAGAGTAGTATAGAATCCTCGAAACATAAACATACATTGGCTATCTGCATTTGGGTTGTCAAGACCACCAATCGCAATATCTCGGTGGTAAGTTCAAAGTTTGATGAGTCTCGTTGCAATGATTTTAGTAAACACTTATGTGGAACTCCCTGGTTATGTTATTTCTATGAACAGTACATGAATTAGCACTTTGCTACGAAATAAATGTTTACATATAGAAGAAGATGTGTTATTTTTCAAAGAATGTGACGTCCATTCTTTTTGCTTCACGGTGTGCAATGTTATGATTTTTTGTGTTTCAGGTCATACATTATCGTCATTCTCTGTGCTTCAGGGCATGTAATGTCATCATTTCGTGTGTTTTAGAGCATCCTGTCATCATTTTGTGTGTTACAGAGCATTTGATGTCAACATTCTGTGTTTCAGAGCATGTGATATCATCATTTTGTGTGTTTTAGAGCATGTGATGTCACCACTATGTGAGTTTAGAGCATTTTAATCAGATAGATCATTGCCGACAGTTGTCTAAAGTTTCACTGTTTAAAAAAGTTAAATTTAGTTATATGCATAAACTAAAACATTGCCGCTATGACTGTTAATTAAATTGAATGTATACATGCATTAACAAAGATCGGTACAATCTATTCAAGTGATTCGATGGTCAACAGGTGTCGTAACAAAATATTCCTAGGCACACGTACACAGAAACCATATACTTACCAGTTTCATTACAGTGTTCTCCAAGGAATCCACAAGCTGGACGGTCGGATGGCGTTTTTAGAATTGCCCCGTTGCCATTTCTTCCCCAAATGGGTAAATGAGACATTCGAAATATCTAATAATCAAAATGACAATGAATAATTCCCATATTTGTATTTATCATATGTTTGACCATTGTTGTGTCGCTTAAATGAATCGAATTTTCTCAGCATTTATCCCCCGTATAACGCCACCGACAGTCGCCATAGTTGAATGTACAACCCATGTGACTTTATTGACATGACATTATTTATAGCACATTCGCACACAATTGAAAAAAAAACTATTTTTTTTTTTTAATTACCCGAGTCTCCAGATTATATGGCGGTGTGCAAACGGTAGCAGTATGGCATTTTGTGGCGCATTTCCGTGGCGTACGATTGTGTTAATGTGTCCAAAATGCTGAAATCGTGCATAATTCATCAACTCCTGGATCATGTAATTCTAAAATCAGGTTCGAGTCAATTTGCGTGTTAAAATATTTTACAAATATCACGCTTATTTTCAACTCCGTGAATTTAAATTTATAGTGTTTCAATAGTGGAATGAAAAATGTGCTGTCATACACGAAGCAAATTCTTCTCATCACGTATTTGATCATATATTACCATAGCATTGACATGCTGCACGGCGATATTCTTTATTAGTGAATGTTGCACATTTCAAAGAAATATTGCTTCATTAGATTGACCTATGGTTTGATGGTAATGATTAGTGTGACGTTAATGGCACGTAAAAGTCAGGCGCGTGCAACATTCGTTGTCCAGTTCATTTAACCCGGGTTTCGATTACTTCACCATTCCCTTACAATCAGTAAAATTTGAGTGTGTGAACAGACCACGTATATCACGAAATCGTATACACGGCTGCATGTGTATAATTATAGAGTTATATGTCAGATGATGCCACTATTGGGAGAATCATATCCTCCAGATCTTTGTGCTTTAATGAAAAACAGATGATTTTTTTTCAATCATCTTTTTCGAGTCCGGAGGGATACGTTCAGATTATTTGAAAGATTATGCGGGGAAATATTCAACAACAATATTATTATTTTTGAACATTCGTCACTGACTGAGATAGAGAAAACATTAAAACATGAGAAAACATTCTGCAAATTAGTGCAGTTTTTTGTTCATATAAAACACATCAGTGTCTAAGTGGCATATTTTTTTCAAATGATAGGATTCCTTCGCTTTCAGTTATTGTTTTTGTACACTGCGCTTTTATTAATATATATTGAATGTAACATAGACTATTTGTTATATGTAGTATACTTTTACATACGGGTTGCATTACAGTCTCCCAAACTATGAGTAAACGTTTGAATGTATGTGACTGTTATCTTCGCGAATTGTTCCCTATTTAAAGCGCAATAGCCATCGACCTATACAACTCGTATATAAACGTCTAGCTATTTTGATTAGTTATATGGAACAACGATTACCAAAAGTGACGCTTCGACAAATGTTAGGCAACTTTGTTCTCAGCAGACATATTTTACGTTGCCTAATTTCTGTTCAATTGTACTATTAAAAATGTACCAAACTGAGCTGCGCCATTTCACTCAACTGTTATAAAGTAATGCGACTGTATCAAATTTATAGTATGTTGATATTAATCGATTCTGAACTATCTAGGAATGTGAAATCCCTTATTTTTAACGGCTAAGAGTGAGTAAACATCAGAAAGTCGTGAAACTAGTTCAACTGTACTGTGTGCTATTGACGTATAGATTAAAACAATGTGAACTGTATAAGTGGCAATTCTTTACAGGAAAGGTAGTCCCGTGCTAATATGCTATGGAATAGAGTATTGTGTAACATTGTATACTATATGTGGCCAAGGGGAACAATGCAATAATGGCGGAGAGTCTCCACCGTAGCGCTGACGGTTGTCGTCGCGGTCAAGGTCGCATCCGTGGCCGCTAGGTTTAAATTGCATACAGAAAAATGTATTTGACACATAATATCCATATGGAAACGCACGCAGTTTCTACAACCGCTGATGTTAAATACGGGGTCGACTTACCCGCTCTCCATTCGGTCCATTAATGGATTCTGCGACTACTTCCATGTGCCCAGACGGTCGAAGATCAAGAACCCAATAATCGGGCTCCCGGTCTCCGTTTTCGTCCATGACTACATTGCCAGTCATACCTGTAAAGACGTCATTATTATTTGGTTCATTTATATATAATAATAATAATAATAATAATAATAATAATAATAATAATAATAATAATAATAACTTTATTGCGCAACTTAACCATCTGTGGATTTAGTAAGGTAAAAAATGATTACAAAAGACACCTAAAATAAGACACACTAAAACACTAAAATTAAAATACAGTGAAATTCAACAAAAGAAAGAAATACAAAATAGAAAATCTCTGAAAAATTGAATAAACAGCAGCAAGGTTCTCCCAGACCATAGTTACATATTTAACTTTTAGAAAATTGTATTTTTTAAATAATATGACAAAGGCATATTTCCCATTATTTTCACAACGCTTTCCATTCTGGACAAGTCATTAATTTTTATTTTAAAATACTTCAAGACATGTTTTCTCTCTACTTCATAGAAATTGCAATCTAAAATGAAATGCATTTCATCTTCAATTCGATCTGAATTGCATTTTTTGCAAGTTCTTTCATTTTCTGGGGTTTGGTTTACTCTTTCCAATTCAATTCCAAGGTTGTGGTCACTGAGCCTGAACTTTGCTAACACTCTACGTTGGCTGACGTTTTTCATTTCATTTAGATAGTTTTCTAATTCAATTTTTTGTTTAAATATACTATATGTTTGTTCCCCTCTTTTTTATTTAATTGTTTTCTCCATGATTGAATAAATTCATTTGATAGCTTTGTTTTTACAACATTGTTAGTTGATTAATATTGTTGATCTTGTATAATACACATAAAATGTCGAGAAATGTGTCTATATACTCACTGTCATTCTATAAATCCTAAAATTAACATCTACTGAGACTGGAAAAAAGTCAGGAAAAACACGCCTCAAACAGAACATACACACTATCGTACGAAAGTAAGCAAGCAATTGTATTTACCCTAACTGAAATACGCAGTGTAATATAAGTGATAACACATATTTTACTTACCATGAAATGTGAGTCCTTTGACGTTACTGAACCATTTCTCACCATCTCTTGGATGACCACCCTGTTCCAGTGTCTTATTCAAAGCAATTGCGTACATGAATACGGCATCATGCAAGAACGGTGAATAAATATTACCCTATATAAAGCAAATATTAGGATGGGTTATTGTTATGTGGTTCATGGTCTTGCACCTATCCTCGGGGGCGGAGCTACGTCACGGACGTTCTACGTTGCTAAGACGCGCACCACTGTACGTATTTCTATGGGCTTTGTGCGCGCTACTGTGGAACGCCGGTGGAGCCGGTGAAAACTCGAGAAAACAACACAAACTCAACTTTGAAGTAATCCTGAACAACCAAATTTATATATGTTACACACGTAGGGCTAATCTTGTTACACTGTTCAGGGGAGTCTCAACAAACATCCCAAAGTACCGTTTTCTGCGAGTTTTTGGTCTTTGTTTTCACCGCGAGGGTTGCCAGGCGGTAGAAATTGCCCGGATGTCCGCCCCCGAGGATAGTATAAATGTTTAAATATATAGAAAAATATTGAATGAGTATTGCTTAGGAACAAATGGTTTCATCTTACTTCGAATGCTGAAATTCTCTTGCTGCTATATTGTCAATTAGGAAAGATGCGTTAAAGTTACGTAAAAATGTTTGTACTGTGTGGCATGAACTTTTCATGTAACATAAACCCGAGCACGTTCAATTTAAGTGTTACAGTTGGGCGTGGCAATTGATCGACAATTGTACGTGTAATGTATAATGCTTAATCTGTTCGACGTTTCTCCTCGATTGGGTGGACACAAATAATAAAACTATGAATGGACTGATTTAGTATTCTGAACGCTGTTTAGTTGAATCGCAACGACTACGTAACGACTGCATGGTTCGTTTATATAGTCTATTTACATAGTTGAGTACTTTGCGTGTTCTTGTACAGATATGAACAGAAGTTAATCGTTATATACAACAGCATGAACGAGGTTTATGTACGTTTGAAGTATTCCATTCTCAACAAAGCCTTAGTATAATATAATAGTATAATAATGTATGTGCAATGACGTAATTATTAACAAATAGGGCAAAAGGCAAACGGCGAATCCAACAGATACCAATCCTGGTAAAACGTGAAGCAACAGCAAAATAGAAGATGTATTGAAAGTAGGGTTATATTAAAAGACTAACTAAGGTATTCACAGTACATATTACTCCAAAGTGCTTAAGTTGTGTACATTGTGAGTATATTTACCTATCAAAGTAATAATAAAGAATGTGTATTTACACTGTTGTATGATTATCTATATAATGTACACAGAGAACCCAGCGATATCTCCGGCAAGGATGAGATGTGTCTTTTTAACCATTTTTATTACATGAGCTGACAAGTATTTAAATGGTAAATAAAACATATCAGACCGCTGGGTATTACAGCATAGCAAAAATGTAGTTAAATACTGGTATTCATCAACTGGTTTAGTTTTTAACAAGTAATTAAATAGCGTGTTACCAATACCAACTTTACGCTGTTTGGGGTGCATATTTATTTTGAAATTAGGGCTTTCAGAATAATTGTCTATAACGATGTGTATATTCAAAGAATCTTATTCCAAGTCAAAAAACGAAACCCTATAAATCACGTAAATTTCAGTTCGGTTATTAGCTTGTAATTGACTGCAGTTATAACAACTACAAAAAAACATTATTTGGGTCTAATTAATGAGCAATCGTACAAATATGTTAATGCTCATGGTAATATTTATCCATCTTTTCACTTCCATCTGTTCCAACATATCATTTAGATTCATCCACCTAAATCTATCCGTATTATCGTAAAATTACAACATTGTACACCTCTATAACGCAATTGACATTTTTATTATATTCTTCTGTTTTGTAGCCTGGTATAATTTTCAATATCAACATCGTGGGAAATGTGTAGGCCTCTATCTTTAATGATAACAGACTCAATAATCTAAGTAAGTATGACCTTCCAAGAATGGCCTAAAATAGCAAACGAACTATTTGCGAAATTAATTTAAACATTGGGTATACTTTTGTTGAGTCAATTGAACTAAGTAAACTGTTATTCCAGAAGAGTAAAATGTTATGCATCAATGAATACATTAGTTGAATAAAAGCAGCAAGAAAGTATTAATTGGATTAGTTCATATAAGAAAGTGAACTTCATTATGTGTAATGGCATACCAAATGAGAAGACTCATAGTCTATGCAAGGGAAAATTTACTTATTCTATAATGTACAAATTGACGAAAATAATCAAAAGTTGTATTGTCTGCAAAATTCAATCGACTGTTCTTTCCAATCTGAATAACTAGGACAAAAAGTTACGACGCTCGAGAGTTACATCTATCGAAACTTTGTATGTTATGTCGTTTATCATCTGGGTTACTGTTTGTCTTCACTGAAAATAAACCCAGTCATACATTGCGCGCTGAACACAACTAACCTAGGAAGTACGTAAGGTTTGCCGTTCAACGGAAACATGAGTAAAATGTTTCTATAAATTCTAAAGGCATGGACATAATAGCTACACGGGAAACAACTCAGAAATACGGTATGCATCTCAGATTAGCTTAATGGAAAATAATTCACATCGAATATTGATTCTGTAGTATAGACCCAGTAATATAATATTCGATCGCTGATCAAAGAATACCGCGTACGATAGGTGATGTAACCATAAGATGATGACAATTCGCCGCAAATGTTGCATATATTATATTACGTATATTAATTCACACGTCAAATGCCGAACAACACGTATCATACGATCAGAAGTCCAGTTACTGACACATTCTCTATATTGCTTTATTAATACCCTCTTTGCACGATTGGCCGCGTTGTATATATTGCACAGCAATTCCATGTCTTTGATGCGTAACACGAGTGTGTCTAATGGCATTGATATAATGAAACCGATGAAGCGTGTAATAACATGTGTTATCACGCTACTTAACAAGGAACTAATTCCAATCAATACACAACAACACTGTATTATCTATTATATAATTAGAGACCATAATTAGATGTTCTATTCAATACGGTAAGTTTACATACGTATTAAACTGAACATTTCCTTTCTTTTTCGTTTATTATTATACTTTTTTACTTTTTTTATATTTTAAACTTTAATATTTTAAACTTTATTGATTTGTGTATATTATTATTATTATTATACATTATTAATATTGCCTAGTGTAAGTTTTCCCGGCGTCCCATGTTTATTGGTACTGAAATAATTGTTGTTGTTGTTGTTGTTGTTGTTGTTGTTGTTGTTGTTGTTGCAATTTAGTACATTTATCATTTACCTTTACTTTGTTATGTTAAACGTAGTAATATAGGCATTTGTCGAGTTTTCTAAACTGTATTGTCTTTCTTCTAACCTTTCCATTCTGAATTGTGCAATTGGATTTGATTTTATACTTATTTGCTGAGCAAATATGTCAAATAGTGATTGATAATGATATAAACATTCGATGGGTTTGAATACAGAAATAATCGTGTCAAATTTATTTGAACATATAGTGTGTGCATTCCTTGATCAATCGCCCATTGCATGCGAATCGAGAATAAATGAAGATCAATTATTGCACTTTTTTACTCATTTGAGTGTTTTAAACATCAATATCAATACGCGCCCATTTACTCCTGTATGTTTGTCTACTAATTAGAATATTACAAATAATCAGCTTTTATCTGTTTTACGAACATGAATACCATCATCTATAAATGATGGTTAGGGATTTGTTTCCATATTATTCAATAATTAGTCTTATTTAGTCTTTGGCTCTTTCCAGCATAGTTTCTGCGCTTTGGCTACACCATATATTCTGATTGATCTTGCAAATAAATTTTAATTATCTGTATCGACCTGACTATCCACAACATCTTCTCTTTCTTTCCCTATATATTTCATGTCATGAAATATTTCATGTCCCAGAATTCATTTTGTTTGCGACCGGAGCTTTTCGCGTCTTTTTTCGAACACATTCCTTGCTTTTGTGACGTTGTGCGGACAGTGTTTTCGACACATCGATTGGTTTCGTAAATAAATATGGGTTTCACCAACAAAAAGTTTAGTGTCAAGGTGGTAAAACATGTAAATTATTTTGTTTTTTTTTCAGTTTGGGGCTGCATTTGTTTTCAGATATGCCTTTCATTTTATGAGACTTGTGTTATTTTTGTTTAATATTTGTTTAATATTCCATGCATTAGTTTAGTAAAAAAAATGCCCTCCCTGTGTTTTAATAGCAAACCCTTGATAGATTAAATATCTTCGCGCGCGAATCTATGCAATGCGAGCACTAAAATGGTAAAAGGGGTAAAAGGTGTCACGTCATATCGAGTCGTGATTCATATTTAGGAGCGCCTATTCGCCACGCTTTATACAGTTACTGCTTGGTTAAATGCATCCATGCAACGAAATAAGTATTAATGTCCTTCGTTATATGTCAAAAAAGACAAAAAGAGCATATTTACGTTCACAGTAATGCAAACAAGAACATTCAAATTGGTAATCCGTGTGTCATGTGATATGCAATAACGGCCGTTCTCGATCGTTATGCGATGGCCGTGATTGGTTACTTGGTTGTGTGCGTCACTTTGGATAGAGCAAGAAGTACTGAGCAATTGTAATAATACATACTCGTATACCAGGTGCAAGTGTATAATTAAATGGAGGCTCTGCCATCTTAATTGGAATGAGATCAAGAAATTCGTCTATTTCTTCGTTGCTGACCGTCGCCATTTCCAGCTACAATGCGAAACGAGAAACAGAAAGAAAGAACAAGAAAAACAACTTTATTCCCGTGCTGCATAAGTTAATTTGCGAAAAATCTACGAACCATTGAAATACTTTTAAATACAGTTATTCAAACATTCCCAATTGTCAATAATGTAAATGAAGTCAATTTACTGATTTTGTTTTTCTGAAATCTTGCTGATTTTACAGATGGTTAAAGCCATACATAACGCCATATGCACCGGAGAATGGTTACATGGACGATACCATACCGTGAGCACCGACTCGTAGGCGTAATAGGCATCAACGTCTCGATCGTCTCCCATCTCCCATGGATTTTGTGGAGTCCGAATATCAGTGAATAATTGATTGAGATTGATAAATACGTAGTCGCCACCTGTCATTCCCTGCTCATGCGCAAACAGCATAAATTTTCTTTCGTTATTCAAGTTGGTAGTGCAGAATATTACAACTGAAAATATGATGGCAATAATAATATATCATTAACATAAAGAACTATTAGTAGATCATATGAAAGTCATTAAAAAATTGTAAATATATATTCTGAAAATCATAAACAAAAATGTATATCATGCAGATCAATAACACATTTTTTGGACAGAAACAATATTCAATATTGCTTTCATCTTTCGGCAAACACTGCAATATAATAACATTATTGTTTTAAATTTATTTGTTAAAGGTTGTCATGTGCAATAATCGCTGGTCAAGCTAGTCAAACAGCCAAATTCTCACACACATATTATATTGCACTGTTCTAATTTGAAAACGCAGACCGTTAAATTTCACAATTTGAGAAAAACGCAAAATGCAGATCCACTATTGCATTATCATAAACACCTTACTCAGATGCTTCTGAATCATTTTGTTTAAAAATATTATTTATCCATTTGTTTTGAAATATCTTATAAATATCACTAATTTAATAAATTCCACGCTTTTAAAACTGTGGAATATTTATTAGAGCTAATGTTTTAACTGACACTTGCCTATGGACAAAATAAAAATTACGTAACCTACTCAATTATTATCATTAATCAGTATTTTTGATGTAGTGCTTACGTGACAACTTATACAAATTTTGACATTTTGAAATGATATTGAAAGGCGTCAGGGACTACACCAACATTGTAACACATTCGGTGCAACTCGGAGCGTGGCTTTTTTTATTATATGTATTTCATTCTAGTTTCAGGTGATGTGAAATTGTACAAATTGGTCAAATTATGCTTTGGCATATTGAAGTATGATTACAATATCATGAGACTGTGACGATATTATTGTTGCAATACACAAATGTTTAGAATTTCTCGCCAGAATTTGTCGACTGTTTTGGGAACGCTTAACTTTAAAGCGACTTGCAGCATTTCTGTGTTGGAGTGCGAATTCGTGATGACGCTACTGATTGGTTCATCGTTGTTTGTCTGAAATATAAACGCAATATCCAACTAAGTTACTACACAGATAAAGAAAACACGATCGATTGTGCCTTTAAATTTGGGGGAAATCGTTACTTACTTCTGCCGCGCTGTCGAATCTTCAAGAAAGCCTCTGTCATTTCTTCTGATGACATCTGGTCCCGTAATTTAATGGTGTCTCCGAGGCTGATGTTGTTTGCTCGGAATGACGTCTGCACGGCAGTAGTAGCGTAAACACAAAAATCCACTGATTCCGAGTAAACCATCACGCCCAACCTCCAACCAAATTGATTGAATATCTAAGACACGGGGCAATGAATTATTAGTATTATTTTTACAGGTGTAAGGGGTTAAAATAATTACATACTACTATGTGTAATCCATCGATCAGTGTAATTACAAATGGCAAATCATTTTTATATTGATAATGCTATAATAATATACTATTAAAGTAATGGTCGCATGGTTTAATTACACACACACACACACACACACACACCCACACACACACACACACACACACACACATACTTGTATTGCAATATGTTCCGAGGACTTCATTGGATTAACTTTTAATATAGTTGAATTAACTTTTAATATAGTTGCGATATGAACTCGATTAAAACGCGTTCCTATATAGGGTTGCGTTTTAATTGGAGTTTAATTAAACTCAATTACAATGCAATACAATGGAGAATTGCATTTTAATTAAGTTTAATTAAACAAGAGTTGAATATCCGGTGACTGAACATAGAAATGTTTGCGAAGCTTAGG